GTTATTGCCCAAAACTTGTTTATAGTAAACAAGTCGTAATGCTGCAATAGGATTATGGATTTCACAATGTGAATCCAATCCTTTCTTCTTTCTAGTGTTCTTGACTTTGTGGTATAATGAATAAGGTATAGCCAATCAGTTGTCTGTATTATTTTAATTGAGCTGATATAAATTCTTTTTTAGGAACCAACAGTTGGCGTAATGGCTATGTCACTGGACTCCCATATAGTCGACTGAGGTTCGAGTCTCAGACCCAGTGGCTTAAACTCACGCTGGGCACGTGTGTGTGTGTGTGTGTGTGTGTGTGTGTGTGTGTGCGCCCAAGATCCCGGGAGAAGAAGGGATTTTGGCATGGCCAATCTCCCCGGGGTGGGCGGCGGGGGGTGATCTCTCACATTCTGTCTCTCTGTCTCTCTCTGTCTTTCTGGTGAGCGTGTGCCAAAAAGCCTCTCCGAAAGAAAAAAAAAAAACAAACAAAACAAAAAACAAAAAACACCTCTTTTTTAAACAATTATTTTATTATTATTTTTTTAACTTGTTATGTCATCAGAGGCAACAGAGAGTGAGAGAGAAAAGGAAAGTGTGAGGAAAGCAAGCTGCCAGGCTTGGAAATCAATCTGCAGCCCGTCATGTGGAAGTCCAGCATCTTAACCACCACACCATCTGCTGGCCCAGATATAAACTCTTTTTTTTTGCTGTTGTTGATTTTAAATTTTTATTATTTTAATTTGCTATAGGGCATGTGCACTCACCAGAGAGAAACAGAGAGAAGGCAAGTGAGAAAGCAAGCCACCAGGTCTGGGACTCAAACCATGTTCAGCCATGTTGGAGTCCAGTGCATTAACCACCATGCTATCTGCTGCCTACCCCACCCCAGTATAAACTCTTAACAAACAACTTACACATTCTCTTCTCTGGCCCTTTCTTTCTTTTCTTTTCTCTCTCTCTCTCTCTCTCTCTTTTTTTTTTTTTTTTTTTTGTGTGTGTGTGTATGTGTGTGTGTGGGGGAGAGGTTTTTGATATAGGGCAAGTGCACTTGCCAGAAAGACAGAGAGAGAGACAGAAAGTGAGAAATCACCCCCCAGGGGGGATGGCCATGCCACAATTCCTTCTCCTCCATTCTCCTCTCAGGATCTTGGGCATATACACACATACATCCAACGTGAGTTTAAGGCACCAGGTCCGGGACTCATACCGTGGTCAACTACATGGGAGCCCAGAGGCATAGCCATTACGCCAATTGCTGGTACCGGCCCTTTCTCTTTATTGTATAAATCAGCTTTCAAAGTCACTATTTTGATGAGCATGATCTGGGAAAATAGAAGTTTGTTCATTTGGGAGGTTCATCCTCTGCCCTGACTCATATAACCACTTTTATTTCACTAATATGCCTCAGCTTTCTTTTCAGGTTGGCAGTTGTGTTCTTTGTTGAATTGTAAGAATTCTCTGTTTTTCTGACTATAATCGCTTATATGATTTGCAGATGTTTTCCCCCATTCCATAGGCTGCCTTTTCATTTTATTGATAATGTCCTTTGATGTACAAAAGTTTTCAATTTTGATGATGTTCAGTCAATGCATTTTTTATTTTTTTTTTTTTTTAGTGTTTTTAATGACATATATTTGAATCTATCACTAAATCCATAGTCATGGACATTTACCTTTATATTTTCTTCTAGGGGTTTTATGGGTTTAGCTCTTATATGATTTTTCAAACCACACTATAAAATTTCCACAGAAATAAAACAAATATATTGGCCCAGATTAACTCTATAGCCACTAAAATTTACCTACCTTTGAAAGACTGATTTTTTTTTTTAAATAAATGGATTTGTTTGGGACCAACAGATGACATAATAATTATGTTGCTGAACTCCCACATAGTTGACCACAGTTCAAATTCCAGACCTGGTGATTTAAAACTCACGCCAGGCATGTGTGCATATGTGCCCAAGATTCCAAGAGAAGAATAGAGGAGAACGGATTGGAGCATGGCCATCCTTCCAAGGGGGCGATTTCTCTCTTTCTGTCACTCTGTCTCTCCCTGTCTCTCCGGTGAGCACACACACCCTATAGCAAAAAAACTCTCTAAAAAATAAAAATAAATAAATAAATGGGTTTGTTTAGACATGACTGAAAAAATTACTGCACTACTGCACTATATTCTACAGCAATCTGTGTATATATATGTATATATATGTGTGTGTATGTGTGTGTGTGTGTATATATATATATATTTGTCTGTGTAGTATATTATTCTTATATAGTAATAGGTAGTATATGGGATGTACTATGAGAAAATGCTAAGAAGGGAGACTAAACTGCCAGTTTAATACATGAGGAAAGGAACAATTGCAATAACAATTAAAAAAAAAAAAACCAAACTAGCCTGAATAATAAAAATAATAACTTTCTGGTTTATGTCCCTGAAAGCCTAGAAGTGATGGGCTTTATTGGACTTGATGATATTGTCAAGGACCAGCTTCTAGTTGTCAGCTCCATCTCAGGATGGCTGTCAACAATTTCTTTTTTTTTTTTTTTTTGAGAGGTTTTTGCCATAGGGCATGTGCGCTCACCAGACAGAGAGAGATAGAGAGACAGAAAGCGAGAAATCACCCCCTGGGGGGGATGGCCACGCCACAATCCCTTCTCCTCCATTCTCCTCTTGGGATCTTGGGCACACATGCACACACGCCCAGCGTGAGTTTAAGCCACTGGGTCCGGGACTCGAACTGCGGTCAACTACGTGGGAGTCCAGCAACATAGCCATTACGCTAACTGCTAGTCCCAGCTGTCAACAGTTTCTAGGTCTGTGTGTCTCCTTATCCCATTTAGAGGAAATTAGCAACTTTCAGCAATGTTTGCCTCTGTCTCGAGCTCTGGTATTAATTGACTTGTGTACCCATCCATGAATTAATACCTGTGTCCTAGATGTAGAGGTATATAAATTGTTCTCTTCCTCCATTAGTCCAGTCATGGAATTGGGCTTCTTTCCACAATGGAAAATTATGGTTCTCAAGTGGAAAACTGGGGAAGTGACAAAGAGAAGAGGAAAGACTATTGAGGAAGCCATGATAATGTTCACCAAGATCATCTCAGATAATTCTTTATTTTATTTTACTTTGAGAGATTTTTGCTATAGGGTACATGTGCTTGCTGGAGAGACAGAGACACAGAAAGTGAGAATCACCCATCAGGGGGACAACTACACTCCAATCCCTTCTCCATTCTCCTCTTGAGACTTTCGACATGCATGCATATGCTCCCAGCATGAGTTTTAAGCTGCCGAGTCCAAGACTCGAACTGCAACTGACTATGTGGAAGTCCAGTGATGTAACCATTATACCATCTGCTGATCCCTCTCAGATAATTTCTTTTTAGAGTTTTGTTTTGTTTTGTTTTGTTTTGTTTTGTTTTGCTGTTGGGTGTGTGCGCTCATCAGAAAAGCAGAAAGAGAGAAACCACCCCCTAGGAGGGATGACCATGCCACAATCCCTTCTCCTCCATTCTCCTCTTAGGATCTTGGGCATGCATACACACACTCCCAGCCTGAGTTTCAAGCCACTGGTTCCAGGACTTGAACTACAGTTGACTATCTGGGAGTCCAGTGATGTAACCATTATGCCACCTGCTGGTACCTCTCAAGGAATTCTTAAAAGAAGAGGTAGGGCTTAACCTGGGCAGAGGAAATCAGATAGCAGAAGAGTATGAAGGCCCATTTCATAACAGGGAGTAACCATCTGTCTTTGTTGGACCATTGGTATCAGGTGAAAGCAATCCTAGGAGTTTAACTTGAAAGCATATTATTTAGGATTTCAAATGCCTCATTAATGTATCTAGACTTAATTTATTGGTCATCGAATAATATTAGTAATTTGTCTAATTAAAACTGTTTATAAATTAGAAAATTTTAGAAAAGTTCATTTAATACTAGGTCTCGATTTTTTTTTTTTTTGAGAGGTTTTTGCTATAGGGCGCGTGCACTCGCCAGACAGACAGAGACAGAGAGACAAGAAAGTGAGCAATCACTCCCCAAGGGGGATGGCCACACCGCAATCCCTTCTCCTCCATTCTCCTCTTGGGATCTTGGGCACGCATGCACATGCACCTGGCATGGGTTTTAAGCCACCAGGTCCGGGACACGAACGGCGGTCGACCCCATGGGAGTCCAACATCATAGCCATTACGCTAACTGCTGGTCCCAAGGTCTTGATATTTTTAAAATGTAATTTTTATTGTCATTTCTGATTTACATATAATAGCTGTACATCTTTGTGGAGTACAGTATTATTTTTCAAAGTGTATATACAGTGTGTAATAATCACATCAATTAAATAAGCACGTTTACCATCTCCAACATTTATCTTGCTTTGTGTTGTGTTTACTCAGAATTCACTTTACTGGCTATTTGGAAATGTACATTAAATTGGCACCAATGATTTTTACTCTATTTTGCTATCCTGTTCTATAACCTATTCCACTTGTACAAAGGCACTTTTCTTTTCCCTGTCTAAGGTTTTTGCCATAGGGCACATGCACTTGCTGGAGAGGAGAGAAAGAGAAAAATAGTGAGAGGGAAAGTGAGAAATCACCCTACAGTGGTATGACCACATCACAATCTCTTTTCCATTCTCCTCTTTGAATTTTGGGCACACAAGCACATGTGCCTGATGTGATTTTCAAGCCACCAGGTCCAGGACTCAAACCACTGTCAGTCATGTGGAGTCCAGTACCTTACTCACTATGTCACCTGATGGTCCCTACATGCACTCTTTTTTTTTTTTAATAATTAATTTAGTTTTATTTATTCATTCATTTATTTTAATTTGATCAGAGACACACACACACACACACACAGAGAAGGAAAGTGAGAAAGCAAGCTACCAGGTCTGGGACTCAAACCATGGTCAGCCATGTGGGAGTGTCCAGCACTTTAACCACCACGCTACCTGCTGGCCCTACATGCACTCTTGTATCAGTTAACCAAGTTCTCCCTGACCCAAAAATATGGGACACTTCACAAATGTGTGTGTCATCTTTGCACAGAGGCCATGCCAATCTTTTCTGCATCATTGTAAGTTTTAGTATATGTACTGCTAAAGTGAGCACTGGGTCTTAGTATTTATTGAGTAATACTCATTTGTGGAAATTCATTTGTCACTCAACACATATTTATTGGGTACCTAATGTGTGCCGGACACTGTACTGGCAGTAGTGGTGATTCAATGGTGAACAATACAGCAGTGGTGTTAACCCCATGGAGGTCTTAGGCCAATGAAAAGTTATAGTATATATTGGGGTCCCCAACCCCTGGGTTCGGGCCAGTACTGGTCTATGGTACTGTTAGGAATCAGACCACACAGCAGGAGCTGAAGATGGCCCAGGAAGCGAAGCTGATGTTTTTGCCTGAGCTTCTCCTCCTGTCATATCATCTGCAACATTAGATTCTCATAGGAGCCCCCAGATGAGACTATCTATCAATAATTGGAGGAAAATAAGCGCAAGGCTCTCACTGATTCTGCATCATGGTGAACTGTATAATTATTTTATTATATATTACAATGTAATAATAATAATAGAAATAAAGTACACTATAAACATAATAAGCTTGAACTATCCCCAAACCATCCCCACTTGTCATCCCTGGTCCATAGAAAAATTGTCTTCCACAAAACTATTTGGTGCCAAAAAGGTTGGGGACCACTGGTGTGTATCATCAGATCTGGTGTCTTCGCTGCCTTGGGAAAGCACTAATTCTCAGTCGGTAGACAGTACACCTGAATGGCTCACTCACAGTAACGGAAAGCAAGATCAGAAGGCATTCAAACCATAGTCAACCAATCTGACCACCCGCAGCTCAGAAACCAAACACTTCAGAATCCCTGAATCCCTTGGCAAAATCACCCATTCCCATTTGAGTTTTCTGAGTCTAGATGATAATTGACTACAAAGAGGTCATTCTTTAGCCCTCCCTAATTGATTGAAGGGATACAATGAGGTAACCTAAGAGTTTTACTTACCTTAAACTCAACATATCCATTTTTAAAATGGATGACCTTTGCTTTACTTCAATTCTAGACCTAAATATTTTCATGTTAAAAACAAAGCAGAGATTAGGTAATTCAGTTAAATTACCTATAACATACTTAAAAGTTTTTTTCTTTACTCTCTTCTACCTCCTCTATCTGTCAACAAACCCTAATTGAATACATAAAAAAATCTTTAACTGCCCAACTGTTTTCTTGTAGGTCACTCCTTTCCTCTTTGTGTAATCTGAGCTTGGATTAAAACAAATTTTTCCTCCAGCCCAAAAGATGTAGATTTTATTGATCTAAAAAGTGAATCTGCTTTGCTTAAGCTAGCAATAAGAAGGCAGGTATATGCAATCATGCAGGATTATGAAAAAAAAAAAAGAGAAGAAAACAGTGCAGGGACACCTCCATCACTTAGAGGTTAAGGCAGCCAGATCCCACATGGCTATCTACATGGTTCAAGTCCTGGACCCAAAGGCTTGAGAAACATGTGACGTGTGTATATGCCTGTGTGCCCAAAATCCCAAAAGGAAGGAGGAATGGAAGAGAAGGAACTGTGGGGATGTAGGGAAGGGACTGATGGAGGAAAAGAGATCTGTCTTTCTGGCAAGCACACAGACTCTCTAGCACACTCACACACACACGCACACACACAAGCAATGACTGAAAGAGAGCTTGTTCATTTTAGCCAATATTCATTAACCCACTCAGATGTTCCAATACTGCTATACTCTACATATAGACTCTGATTCAGCAAATCTAGGGAGATGCCTTAAGCCACATTTTGTCAAGGCGACTCCATCACAAGTGACTGGATAATCAGCCATTCAGTAGTCAGTTCACTCTACACGATGACAGTGGTCATCCTGACTGTCCCATCCTAGTATATTAGGTCTTGCTATAGATACTTCAAAAGAAAACTGGGCAACCACCAAATTCCATGACTAGGACGTTTACAAAATACAGAAATACAAATGATCAATAAACATCCATTCACCTTCATAAACAATCAAGTAAATCTAAACTGAGGCCATTAAAATATAATTATTCACCAATTGCACTGTCAAAAACATTTTAACTGGTTAACCATTGTGCCTGTGGGTAACAATAATGTATTGTACACTTAAAAATCTGTTAAAAGGATGGATCTCATGTCAACAGTTCTTACCATGGTAAAATGTCAAAAAGAAAAAAGAGTGAAAGAAAATAAACGTTAGTTTTTTTTGTTTTGTTTTGCTTTTTTAAGTCAGTTAACATCCAGAATATGCAAAAATATGGTGATATGGGACCAGCAGTTAGCGTAATGGCTATGTCGCTGGACTCCCATGTAGTCAACTGCGGTTCGAGTCCTGGACCCGGTGGCTTAAACTCATGCCAGGCGTGTGTGCGTGTGTGCCCAAGATCCCAAGAGGAGAATGGAGGAGAAGGGATTGCGGTGTGGCCATATATATATATATATATATATAGTGATGCAAGCACTCCCATATGATGTTGCTGGCCAGAGTATATGTATTGGTAGAATTAAACTAAAGGACATTTTGGCAGTATGTATTAGGTTTTATAATGTAAATATTGGGTTGTCGGAAAAGGCATGATGCATTTTTGCATAGAAAAATAGAAAAAAATACGTCATAGCTTTTTTGACAATCCAATACTTTGATTTTGTATTTTAATTTCCAAAGTATTTTTCAGAAAGATAATACAAAAAAAGTGCAAAGATTTATGTGTAAGCCTGTTTGCCAAAACCTTGTTTACAATATAAAAACTGGAAGCAGCCCATCAATAAAGGATTGGTGAAAGAAGAATATCTAGCGTAATGAAGTGCTATCCCATTAAAAATATGTCTATTGTCAAGGCCAGAACAATGGTAAAGCAAAAGTCATAAGGAAAAAAGTGACTTTATGTCTCACTAATCCAACATCACATTAGGGTCAGACCCAAGGCACACAGTCAGACCCACCAACATCTTGGCCAGATGGAAATGGCAATATGTCTGCCTTCCCTGAAAAGGCGAGGGTCTTCTATACTAGCAAAAGGGTTGCTATACATATAAGTTGTCCTGAAAGAGTTTAAATTGGACAAAAATACAGAGGGTCTCATAGGCAGGAGGCAAGGAGAGGATTGGGAGAAAGTCCATTGGCAGAACTCTCTGAAGCAACTCATTGGCAGTTTTTACGGTAGTCTGTTCAGTAAGATTTGTATCAATCTAAAGGAAGTTGTAAGCCTGAAATTGTTTTTAGAGTGTCTTGTGATAGTCAAAAGTCAAACTGAGGGACCAGCAGTTAGCGTAATGGCTATGTTGCTGAACTCCCATCTAGTCAACCGCGGTTCAAGTCCCAGATCCGTTGGCTTAAATTCATGCCGGGTGTGTGTGCATGCATGCCCAAGATTCCAAGAGGAGAATGGAGAAGGGATTGCAGCATGGCCATCCCCCCTGGGGGGTGATTTCTCGCTTTCTGTCTCTCTGTCTTTCTGGCGGGCGCACGTGCCCTATAGCAAAAATATCCCAAAAAAAAAAAAAGAGTCAAACTGATAAGCTAGCTGGTCAATCGACCCCTCTTCTTCTTGATTCTCCAGCCCTTAGTGTGTGTGTGTGTGTGTGTGTGTGTGTGTGTATGTATGTGTGTGTGTGTATATATATATATATATATATATTAGTTTATTTTTAGTTTTTTGCCATAGATTGTGTACATTTGCTGGAGAAAGACAGAGAGAAGGAAAGTGAGAAATCATTCTCCTGTGGGTATGGCCACACTGCAACCTCTTCTCTTCCATTCTCCTTTCAGTATTTTGGGTATATGTGCACATAGACCCTGTGTGATTTTCAAGCTGCCCAGTCCAGGTCTAGAACTGTGATCGACCATGTAGGAATCCAGCACCTTAACCACCATGCCACCTGCTGGACCCAACATATGTATTATTGTAAAGCAATTTCTTTTCTGTATAAATTTTGTTTTCACACTGTCTACATTTATTAACAATTCAAATATACCTTTAACTAAATTTTCAAAAACTACACATATAATCATTTTTAAATTATTTATTTATTTATTATTTTAATTTGCTATCATTACCAGAGAGAGACAGAGAGGGAAAGTGAGAAAGCAAGACACCAGGTCCAGGACTCGAACCATGATCAGCCATGTGGAAATCCAGCATCCCAATCATGACACCACCTGTGGGTCCCAATCATATTCTTTTGTTTTTTAAAATATTTATTTAATTTTATTTATTATTATTTTTAATTTGTTGTAGAGAACATGTGCTCACCAGAGAGGGACAGAGACAAAAAGAAAAAGAGAGAAAGTGAGAAAGCAAGCTTCTGGGTCTGGGCTTCAAACTGCAGTCAGTCATGTGGGAGTCCACTGTCCCACCCACCACACTACTTGGGGTCCCTATAAGCATATTCTTTTTTTTTTTTTAAAGAATCATTTATTTACTTAATAACATTATTTTTATTTGACGAGAGAGAGAGAGAAGTTGAGAAAACAAGCCACCAGAGACTAGAATCGCGGTCGGCCATGTGGGAATCCAGCACCTTTAACTACCATGCCACCTGCCAGCCCCATAACCATAATCATATTCTTAATAAAACATGTGTGTGATATACAGACCAAAGTGGGAAAGAAGTTATTGAAAATGTTGACAGGGCTAGCAGTAATACATTCTGGGTAATTATTACAGAAAATTATTTTCTGAAATATTTCTTTTTTTTTCTGAAATATTTCTACAATGGGTATATAATACCTTTAGCATCCTCCTCCCCTCTAAATCGTTTGCAACAAATCTTTGAACCTGTTATGCTGATTTGTTTGCAGGAGAATCTGTATTGAAGGAATAGTCTGTGAGGCAGTTTGATTCATGTAGGACAGGGAGAGAGTGGAGACTTGGAGGGAGGCAAGGGAGGGAGAAGAGGAGAGCAAGGGTCCGGCCTGCAGCCCTCAAACTAGGTCTGAACCTAATAGCAAGTCAGTCTGCAAGCAAGGGCTGAAAGAGATGCTTTCCCAGGGTATACCAGTGAAACATAGTGGTATCAGCAATATTACTTCAGTGCCCACATGGGACACAAAACATGTG